GGAACTGTGAGGGAAGTTCCAGGAGGAAAAAAAAAGCAGGCCTTTTTACCTCAGGGGCATTTTATTACCTGGATTGTTCTTGGAAATAATTTCATGACTCCTGTAACAAACATTTATATCCAATTTATAAGAGACAGCTATTCTTCTTGGATGTCAGAACATAGCTACAGAACCCAATCTAGTCAGTGTATACAGAATCTGGATATTGTCTTCTGCCTTTCTTCCATGCTTTCCCAGATATAATCTATATATAATAAATGCCAGGTAACTGTGTTTAAATTGGTCTGTCCTAAGAAAGTTCTGAGAAAAGGCTGCTCTGTTAGTATTTAGTATGTGCTTCTTCATGTTTATTTACATGTTTTTTTTCTGAACTCAACCTTCCTTGAACCACTACTTTCTTTGGCAAATTCATGTACAAATGTACACTGAAACTAAATTAAGATTTCTACAGCTTTAAACTGTAGTCTGCCCCATTCTTTCAGGTCCTAACATCTGACATCCAGCAGACAAGTTCTGCACAAGCCAGCCAAAAAGTAGACAAAGGGGCAATGGTAAGAAACCAAAAGTTTCCATGCCTAATAAGAATGCTAGGAAGAATGTTACGATAGCAAGATTGGCCTAGCACCTGAGTTTAGAATTCACCAAACTCAGAGGGTCACTGATGGACTGCTGGTAAAGGTGAGCTTACCTGGTAAGAACAGCCTACAGTAAATATGTTACAGTGGGATAAAAGAAAGACCATATGAATCACACTGACTTTACTTTCCTTGTTCCTGAAGAGACTCCCTTATCCAGCATTTCTGTCAGTTTATGGGAAATGACTACCCACCTGCTACTTGAAGGTTTGTAATTCATTTACCTACATACTCTCATTGTTACCACAGTCCACACCGCACTCATATATATGTGTGTACAAGTCCACGACTATGATCACTATCCTGGAAATATGTACTTACTTTTAAATGGACTTACTGGCACCCTTCAGACTTTAAGTGTAGACTTATCAGCTCTCTCTCATTCAACTCAACGTATTTTAAAAGCCCACCATCTTATTCCACAGCATGTGACCATTATTAGTTTGATCTGTATAGCCAATGAAATTAAATTTACATAGAAAAAATAGTAAAACAGGTGTGGTGGCGCATGCCTTTAATCCCAGCATTCAGGAGGCAGAGACAGGTGGAACTCTGTGAGTTTGAGACCAGCCTGATATACAAGAGCTAGTTCCAGGACAGCCTCCAATGCCACAGATAAACCCTGCCTCAAAAAACAACAAAAAATTTTGGTTTTGATTTATGTGTTTGAGTGTGCATGTGTGCCTTCATGTGTGTTTGGGTAACCTCAATGGCACAGAAAGAATGCCAGGTCCACTAGAGTTAAAGACACAGATGGTTGTTCAGCTGTCTGATGGTGGTGCTAGGAATCAAACTCAGGTCCTCTGGAAGAGCAGAACCCAGTCTTGAACACTGAACATGCCTCCATATCCCCTCATTCATCTTTCCATACCTGACTACAAATGCACTCCTAGTTTAGAGGCTTCTTCCTTCTGATAATTTCAACCTTTCCTTCCTTCTAACAAATATTTTTAATGATATTGTTATTTGAGTAGGATTGGAGTAATTCTATGCTGTTGTATCTGAATATACAAGCAGTACTTCTATTAACAGAAAATATATGACTTAGTAAGGAAATCATTCTTCTCCTGGGTACCCAAGTGGCCCAATTATAAAAGTTGCAGGGACAGAATAGAGAGGAAAGATACATAACTTCATTGTGTAGTATCATGTCCTATTAGAGACAGACTGTCTTGGAGCAGAGTAAAATGCTGAGCAGTTAGAAAACAAAATTTGCCCTCTGTGGGATTTGAGCATTCTTTGTTTCAGAGAATCTTCTCTGTAAAAAAAAAAGTGTGTGTGTGTGTGTGTGTGTGTGTGTGTGTGTGTGTGTGTATGCATGCCTTTTACTCACATGTCCTGTTTAGCAACCAGAGAGAAAATGAGATATGGCTCTCACATGCTCCATGAGAATGAGCCCCAGGAATCTCACCTTCTTCTGCAATTGCTACTGAGACTTACCGTGTCTGTGTTCCACATGTGTATCCCTATATGTCATCTTTCTGGGGATATATATTTTTTAAGACACTAAATTTTAGTGATTGCTATTGCCCTACACCTCTGTGGCATGGGGAAAATACAACTAGAGATGATATTAACTGCTGGGTTACAGGGAAGAGTTTGTTGAAGACTTACAGCACGGGAATGTGACTACATGATAAAGAGGAGGAGCACAGAAACAGAGAGAGTAACGGGCCCAGGTGTGCCCAACAAAGACATTAGTCATTTTTCTGTAGGATTGGAGTTGTTGCCTTGAGGGGATTGTCACTTATACATTTTTCATCATATGTAATTAATTGGAGTTTATTACTATGCTTAAAAAGAAACTATTTTAAAGAACACTAGCTTATATGAACCATACTAGAGGGGCAATGAAAACTGAAATATCCCACAAATTAATTCTTGAAATTAACCCATGGAAAACATAATTTTTACTGTTCTGTGATGTCAATAAATAGAACATTGAAAAATGCTTTTTCTGGATGCTTCATTCTCCATGTGCAAAATTGCTTCTTACCTTACAGTAAAATAAATATTTACAACAAATTAGTATTATTTTATTGTGAATAAAATATTAAATGTTTTTCTTAGTCTTGCTACAACTCTGTGTATAGAGATTATTTTGAAATTTTTTAACATTATGTCCTAATATATCTCAATGTTTTTATGTTAAATTGGTCAAAGGATGTTTTATGGTCTAAAATATGTTAGATTCTTGTCTCCAGTAAAGCTGTTTAATTTCTCTGAACTTTATTTTCTTCATCTGTAAAAATACAATGGTGTTTGTATCATATAATTTACATACATATCTAAATTATGATCACTTTAAGAAATGACTGTTTGCATGTATGAAATAATATGTAAAATATTTTTAAATGAGATTTTTTGTATAATATTTGGGTATCTGTGAGGCACCACTCGATATATTTTTCATGATACACTTTAGAAGTCCAGTGACTTTCAAAATCATTGAAAAGTTGCACTTCTGCAATGTACACATGACTGCCCGCAAGTGAGGTACAAGGAAAAATTAAAGTGTAAATTTCTGTTAACATATAGTTTGCTTTTTCAGGAAGACAAAATTCCTTTTGAACTTTTTCAAACAAAAGTGTAATAAATTCAAACATAAAATAATAAATTATGAAGTTTATGTGAACAGGATGAACCCAAATTCTGTGAGGTATATTCAAATGTTATTGATCAAGTAGGAAATATAATCACTGTAAAATGTGAACTAAGTTGTCATTAATAACATTGATTTATCAAGTTGATTAACATAACAAGCACACACCTGTAGGCAACATTGACTAAGCATACAAAATGTCTTTTTGGGATTCTTCTGATTAGCAGAAAATGTTGCTAATTTAGGGGTACTGTGCTAACAGTGCTCACTGGTAAGGAGTGGTCTGTCTCTTTGTACAGTTTAACTTCTTTAACCGTGTGTTGTAAGAAGAGGCTGTAGAAGTGGAGGATCTCAGGAGTCCAGTTAATGCCATGGGTGTGACTGATGAGCAGCATGTCACATCCTTTTAACATCAAACCTAGTAATTTATTTCAAAAATGGAAAATAATGCTGTTTTATTTAAGAGTGATAGAGTCAGCTACTTCCAGTCACCTGAGAGTAGGGTGTCAGTAAGTTAGGCTTGCTTTGGGACACTACAGTACACAGTTGGTCCTGACCGACATGAGCATGCATATCAATACGATCTGTATCCTATCTTTTTTTAAAAGGAATATAAAACTATTTATTGACCACTGTTCACCATTATTTACAATAAAGTAAATATACAGTTGGATGACATTCTGATACTACAAAGTTACTTTTCTGGCTCATTGAACCAGAACCCAAATACTGAAAAGATTGATCCTACCAGTCACGAATGAGTCAGATAAAGGAAAAGCATGCAAGTCACTAATTTACATTACCAGATTTTGTTCATTTATGTTGGCCGGTCTGAGATTGCCAACGTCATCTCTAACTGTATTCCATATCCCAGCAAACAGATATTCCATGAATCATAACCTGTTAGTAGATTTTCAACTTTTCTACAAAGGAATGGTTCACTAGAGGAACCTTTACATGCCCACTTAGGTATTTTTGTTTGGTTTTTTTGACACAGGGATTCTAAATCAGAGATCCGTCTGCCTTCAGAGTGTTGAGATTAAAGGCAGGCACAACCACACCCAGCTTAAGTCTTGTTATTAAATCATACTACAACTTTGTCTAATTCCATTTTCTGAAGGAGGAGTTAGTAATGACAAAATTTTGTAAATAAACTACTGTATGTGATAATACATAAATTCTGATATGCTTGCTGTAAAACTATCCAATAAATTACAGAATCACCTACTTATAATCTGAAAGGTTATGGTTTCAGGAAGATGTTCACAATGATGGAACCTTGTCAATACGTTTTCATCTACGGTTTTTTAGTATTAAAAAACAAGACAAAATGAAAGTTACGTGTCTTATGCAACACACGAATACAAACAAAAAACCCAGAATGTCCCAGAATGGTCCATCTGTGTCTTAGTTAAAAATAAGTTCTGGTTCACTAACGACTGTAAGATCTCCTCAGCGTTTAAGAAAAGCCGTTCTTCAAAGCCAAGGAAATACAACATGGTATCAAATATTCTATTGTGAAAGGAAGCAACTACAGAAAGCTTTTATTTGCCCAAAGGAATCAGTGCCTTTTGAGGCAGAACAAAAACCAAAAATATCCCAGCTACTATCAATACTTTCAAAACCAGCATATCAAACTCGATTTTCATTAGAACGCTATTTTTTTCTACACTAGTAATTCAAAACCCAAGATCCAGATTATATATATATATATATATATATATATATATATATATATAAATGCAAACAATTATTGGGCCTCATCTTCGGGACAAGAATGCCAAGTCAGCCTCTCCTCATAAAAGGCAATGACTTCATATTTGCCTCCTTTGCCAGAACCAAGTCTGCCTCATCTGAGTCCTTCCATTTCATGAGAAACATTAATTCTCCGCTGCTGTCTGTGGCATCAATTATTCGTTCAGGATCAAGACCTCTGGCAAAACCCCTTGGTTTGTCAGCAGCATCTCTCTTCTTCTTCGATTTGCTATCATCAGATTCACTGTCAGATAAAGATTTCCTTTTTGTACCATCTTTTTCTTTACCAGCTTTTTGAGAATTAAGAAATGCTTCAATTAATTCTGGACAATCTAAATTTTCTTCTGGTTCCCAAGTATTATCAGCATCTGTGAACCCCTTCCACTTGAGGAAATACTCCACCTTCCCATTCACTACACGCCGGTCCAGTACTTTTTCTACCACAAATTCTTCAGGCTCAGCCTCTTCAACTTTTTTACTCTTTCCATTCTGTTTCTTTCCCATTTTTTGCAATGTAGTTTTATTGGAGGCCATTTTTTTAAAATCGAAGACTTGAAGAGTTCACCGCTCAGATGCTCCGGGGCTCAGATCCTGCAGAGTCTCCCGGCTGCGCGCCTCTCTGTATCCTATCTTAGGACAAATGTATTTTGTTGATGTTGATGTATAAATTTCTGAGGAATCACAAACATGATTTCAAAGAGCAACAATCTATGAGAATTAAAAATAATTCTAACATATAGCCTAAAGCCAAAACAATATATATATATATACAAAAATTTGAAGGCCAGCTAGATACTGGGCTGCAAGGGGTCTCCCATTTCTGAAACTTGTAGTGGAAGTCATGAGAACAGAAAAGCAGAGCAAGTTTGACCCAAATAAAATGTTCCTGGTGCTTCAGGATCGTTTTGCACCACATGAGCCAAGATTACTTACTTCCTGGCATTATTGAGAAAGAGAACTTCCTTATATGATTAATGCAGTGTCTGCTATTTAGCAATAACACAATAAATGCTAGGTTTCTTCCTTAATTCTATGTGTGATTTTGGTTGAAAAATCTACTGTGAGTTCATGTTGACTTTCTGACTTTTGATACTGGGGAGATATTACCTTAATGATACCTTGAAAATCAAGGTCAGTAGGGTTGATCTCCTAATGCATTTGATCATAATCTCCACTTGTAATGAGGAGATATGTGCTCCTGACCTGACTTATTTTTCTGAACCCAGATGATTTGATTCCACTTTCAAATGAGTTAAGTGTTCTTTGCTGTCCCTTTAGAAAACAGTCACAGTTTAAGCATTCATTTGTGGTTTAATGACATGGTTTTATTATAAGAAATTAGGGGTATCTTTTAGAGGAAACAGGCACTTCTATATAATTACTGTTAGAAATAATGATCCAAAATGAAGTATTCCAAGGTCAAAATTATTTGGATAAGTGTCCTTCAGTGCAGAGCTAACAGCTGCATAGAACAAATCAATCTATTCAATTACCTGGAAGTACCTTTGGTAACCCGTTTAAAGGATTGAACCTGACCAGTGCATTATCAAAAGTTATACATGCTCTCACTGTCTCAATCAAAAGAGGAAGTTAGTAGCACTTCTAATTTTTTTTCAAGTAACATTATTTCAACCTCATTTCAAGAAAGGAAAAGTCTTTACACTCAGTGACTGATTTGTTATTTTGTTAGGATGAACTTTTCCTTGAAAGTTTCAGACCTGCTCACCCTTATTGCTTTGGCATCTCTTCCATGAATGGGAGGGTTGCTCAATCATGTGCTCCTAATAAGACTGGTGGTAATGTCAGATGTGTACTCTTCTGATTGGTGACACTGACTACCACTTAATATGTCTAATACAGCAGCATTTCACTAATGTTCAGAGAAATCTATTGATGGGGAATCTGCTTCATTGGGTATGTTACATTTCATCCATGGATAAAATTGGGCTTAATAAATAGAACATTTGATTACATGTGAAAAATTGATATGTATTTAAAGAATTGATTCTTTAGTGTCCTCAATATTCATTTATTTACACTTACTGGTAATTCAGGTTTATGATATTAAGTAACTCCAAATGACTAAGTAACTTGCTACTCTAAAGTTTCTTTGAAGATATTAGTCATAGCACATGGCATTTGTTTAAGAGAATACCTCACCTCCCAATTTTAGGAAGTGATTAATTCCTTGTAGCTGTTTACACACTTTTCTCTATTGGAGAAAGTAAACCATATAACCGATGGCATTTTTCTTTATTTTGTTTACTACAATTCATGATAGAGACAAAGTACAGAGGTAGAGACCTGAAAGGGCTTGTGTGAGGATGCAATCTCCAGTATTGAAGAAAAGAAACCAGGGCACATTAAATTCCTAGCAGTGGCCAGATAAAGGCAAGAGGATCAGGAGTTAATGATATCCTTAGCTGCATGGTGAGCTCTATGTGAGTCTAGCTTATTTGATACTCCATCCCCCCAATTAGTTGGAAACTCACTGCAAATTCACAGTGCCTGCCTAGATTTCAGTATGAAATAGACATTTTTCTTATGATACCTTGAGTATCACTGTATGGTAAATATTCTAATGTAGCAGATAGTATTCTCTGTTTGATTTACAAATGTGTCCATAATTAGTATTCTCTGTTTGGTTTACAAATGTGTCCATAATGTCTGTTCCCTAACTTACTTTAAAAAAGAAGAGCTACCATATGTCTACTGTATATGACACAGAGAACTTTTCAGCATATCTAAAGAAATTTTAAAAAGAAAACTGAGGTGAGAGAAATACAATTGAACTTTACTTAAGAATAATACAAATGACAGGGCTCTGCTGATCCCATCACAGCAAGGTCCACCCGACCCAGACACTGCCAGAATCCTAGTCCTTTCTCAGCACACAGAATGAGATAAGCATGGGCCTGTTTCAGGCCTGCATTCCTGTGCCCTGCTCAGAGCCATCTGAAGCCTGGGGATTCTGCACTGGGGAACCCATCCGAGGAGTCCAGTCCACCCAGAGACTTCCAAGACCCTGGTACCAGTCCTGCCTCCATCCACAGGGAGAGGAGAGCTATCAGAGTATTGGACCTGCTTGAACCCACCAGAAGGGAACCTTGGTCCTGTATGTACCAGGAAAGGAAGAGACTCCTCCTGTAGCCACTGAATGCAGCAATGGGAATAATACAACATAAAAACATATTCAACAACAGAAAAACCAATATGACAATACCAGAGTCTTGGAACTCTACACCAAGAAGACCTGAACATCCCAACACAGATGAAGCAGAAGAAAATGACCATAAAACAACTTCATTAAATGATAGAAGCCCTTCAAAAGGATATGAGAAAATCACTTAAGAAATGGAAAAAATACAAGAAATCCACAAATCTCTTAAAGAAAGTCAAGCAAAAACAATCAAACATATTAAGGAAACAATTGAAACAGTTCAAGACCTGAAAACTGAAATAGAGACAATAAAGAAAGCACAAACTGAGGGAATGATAGAAAAAGAAAAGCTGGGTAAATGATCAGGAACTACAGATGTAAGCATAAGCAACAGGATATCAAAGATGGACCAGAGTATCTCAATTGAAGATACACTAGTAGAAATAGATTCATTGACCAAAGAAAATCTTAAGTTCAATAAATCCCTAACACAAATTATCCAGGAAACATGGGACACAATAAAAAGACAAAACCTGAGAATAACAGGTGTAGAAAAAGGTGAAGAAACCCAGCTCAAAGGTACAGAATGCATATTCAACAAAATCATAGAAGAAAACTTTCCTTCCCAACTTAAGGAAAGACATGGCAATGAAAGTACAAGAAGCTTACAGAACACTAAATAGTGTGGACCACAAAAAAGTTAGCTTGCCACATAATAATCAAAACCTCAAACATACAGAATAAAGAAAGAATATAAAGAGAAGCTAAGGAAAAAGGTCAAATAACACATAAACCAAACATACTAGAATTACACCTGGCTTCTCCATGGAAACTTAAGCCAGAAGGTACTGTATAGACATTCTACTAACACTAAGAGACCATGGATGCCAGCCCAGACTACTATACCCGGCAAAGCTCTCAATCACTATGGACGGAGAAAACAAGATATACCATGACAAAACTAGATTCAAGCAATATGTGACCACTAATCCAGCCCTACAGAAAATTTTGGAAGGAAAACTGTTGGGGAAGTCCTGTTATTTGCCTGTGCATTTGTCAATAAAGTACTGTCTGGCCAATAGAAAACCTAGATAGGAGGGACTAGGAGTCGAGGAGGATTCTGGGAAGGGGAAACACAAGAGAGTCAACATGTAACCGCCATGGGGGTAGGAGCCCAGAACTATTCTCCGGTAAGAGACATACTTAGATTAACAATTATGGGGTAATTACTTAAAGCAGAGCTAGCCAGTAAGAGACAAGCAAGGCCAACAGCTTCATAATGAATATAGCCTCTTGTGTGTTTATTTGGGATTGAAGCGGCACTGGAACCAGGCTGGCGGGAACCCTCCTCTCAAGGAAAGCTTCTCTTAACAGAAAACTCCAACCCAAGGAAGCTAACTACAACCAGAAAAACATAAGCATTAGAGAATCCCTCTCTACCAACAGCCAAAAGAACAAAGGGATGAAATTCCACACATAATTCCACCAACAACAACCATCACAAATCGAAGAAGGATGAGCAATCAATGGTCATTAATATCCCTCAATATTAATGGCCTTAACTCACCCATAAAAAGACACAGACTAGGAGAATGGACCCGAAGACAGAACCCTTCTTTCTGCTGCATACAAGAAACACACCTCACCCTCAAAGACAGACATTACCTGAGAGTTAAAGGTTGGGAAAAAATTTTCAATTAAATGGACCAAAGAAACAAGCAGGGGTAGCAATCCTAATATCTAACAAACTAGACTTTAAAATAAAATCAATCAAAAGAGATGAAGGAGGTCATTACATACTCATCACAGGTGAAACCCACCAAGATGAAGTGTCTATCCTGAACATCTATGCCCCAAATACAAAGGCATCCACATTCATTAAAGAAACATTATTAGAACTTAAATCTCATCTAAAGCCCCACACAGTTATAGTGGGAGATTTCAACACACCACTCTCACCACTAGACAGGAATACCAGACAGAAACTCAACAAAGAAGCAAAGGGTCTAATAGAAGTAATGATCCAACTGGGATTAACAGATATCTATAGAACATTTCATCCACATACAAAAGAATATACCTTCTTCTCACCACCACATGGAACCTTCTCAAAAATCGACCACATACTTGGCAACATATCAAACCTCAGCAGCTACAAAAAAATTGGAATAACTCCATGTATCTTATCAGACCACCATGCTTTAAAATTAGAATTCAACAACAACACAAATTGCAGAAAACCTACAAACTCATGGAAATTGAATAATGCTCAACTGCACCATCCCTGGGTCAAAGAGGAAATAAAAAAGAAATTAAAGACTTCCTCGAATTCAATGAGAATGAAGACACAACATACCCAAACCTATGGGACACTTTGAAAGCAGTGCTACGGGGAAGTTCATAGCACTAAGTGCTCACATGAAGAAACAGGAGAACAGTTATACCAGAGAAT